AAGAATATGTTAATCTAGCCACAATGGGATTGGCAGTTTTGCTGTTCCACCAAGCTTAAATTGAGCAGGTTCAGCAGCAGAAATTTTGGAATCTCCAAGGCAAGAAAGGAGAAGCAGAGAATGTAGTATGCATCCCTTGGGCCCACGGTTTTCTGCACTACTCAGACCAGGGACTACAGGGAAGCCCAGCAGTCACAGCAGAGAACCAGAGACCCAACATGAGACACAGCTGACCTGACTGCTGCCCCGTGGAGTTAGAGCCAGCAGCCTTCACTCAAGCTTACTGGAGGAATTGGGAGAAGCACCACAACTAGCAGGACTAAGAGAACTTTTTAACACTGGCCTAGAGCCACAAGGCTGAAGGCCAAAGAGGCTACAAACACAAGTCAGAGGCTGCACTGAAAAGAGAAGTTGTATTCTGTTGCCAACCTGAGTTATGAAACATTTAACTTCCCTGATAAACTCCATAATCCTGAGGATGGTTCTATGAGGTCTGTCGCTATTGTAAAGGATTGTAGACCCAGTAAAACAGCACAGAAATTGGACTTTATAGAAGCAGGGGTGGGAATGTGAGAGACACAATCGTACGGGAATTGGTTTTGTGTTGCGTATGTTGTTGATGAGGACAGTTCCCCCTTATGGAGTTTGTAGAGATCAGATACGCCCCTGCTCTTTTAACTCCTCTAAAGAGCACACTGGTTGTGCTTCTGCCAAGACTTCTACATAGAGCTTATAATTTTATATGAAATAAAGATCATCTAAGTATCTTAAATATTTAGGCTCCAAAGAGAAAAAGATTTTATTGTAATTAAATTATATAGTTGTCAGTTTATATTTTGGTTCTGTATAATAAATTAGGTTATCTTCATTGAGGTTTTCTTTCTTTATTAATTGAGTGCAAGAGTATCTGATAAATTAGTCTTGAAAAGTGATTTTGTTTTTGTTCCTTGATACTTACTATAGGAGGACGACTTTGTAGAAAGGACATCATCCAATTAATAGCAAATTTTGTTGATCCCGATCCAAGATTTCCCTAAAATACTCGAGAAAATAAACAAGTTATATTTATGAAGTTCAAGTTATATCCAATAGCGCACTCATCATCAAGTACATTTTTATCCTGATCAATCAAATCTTCAAAATAAGTGTTTTGAAATAGATGAGTACTTTAGGAGTAAAAGTAGTCCCTTGTAGGTTAATTAGTTCTAGAGACCAGCTGTAACCTAGGAATTCTGGGTATATTGTTATTGTTATTGTTGTTGTTGATTGTTGCTGAGTCGAGCACAACATATAGTGACCCCATGAGCAAAAGACCTGAAGCCCTCCTACAACAATCTCCATTTATCAAAGCTCACAGAGTTTCCAGAAGCATGCTCTTTAGGAAGTGGATGCCACTCTAATAATATAATATGTAATCATATTATGTGCATACATATAATATACTCAAACTCATTGCCACTGACTTGGAACTGAGATATGGGTGACCCTCCATTGGGTTTCCAAAGTTGTAAATCACACAGAGGAGACTGTCCATCTTTCTTCCTTAAAATCACTGGTAGATCCAAACCACCAGAGAAGTGCAGCATTCTGGTTAGTAGCACAGCTCCATAAACATTAGGCCCCCATAGCTCCTTATATATCATACATCTATTTAATAATCATACAATATATAATATGTAGTACCTGCTGAAAGACAAGAAGTATCTCATACAAAAGTGCTGTAGCTGTATCTGTGTACTCCAAGATAAGCTTCTGTAACTAGAATGTTAAAGAAAAATTAATACAATACTAGAGGCAGCACCAGAAATGGTCATTTCTCTTTATTCCCCTTAGATACTTATTAAAGAATATTTGGCTAACTTAAAATAGAATCAGTGTAGACAATCATCCTGTTCCATTTGTTTCAAGTCATTCTCAAGAAAATGGCTTTCACAAGAAAGAGTATCTGTTTCATATTGGCCAGAAAAGTAGGCTAGGGATTAGTAATTCCACCTCTAGGAATTTATCCAGGGAATTTATCCAGGCAAAAATCAGAGAAGTTTACAAAAGTATTTCCATAAGGATGGTTGTAACTGAATTAACTAGAAGAGCATTACCCAAAAGGGACTTTCTGCAACAATGAAAATGTATTATCTGCCTTATGAAATAGGTAGCCACTAGCATTCATGGCTATTAAATATAGCGAATGAGGTTAGGGGCAACTGAGCAATTACCACTATAATCCCTTTAATGGCACAGCAAAGAACTAAGACACTAGGTGATAGAGAAAATTGGAAAATATGTAACAGTTTAATATAGCTTTAAAGTGAACTATAATACAGCTTCCAAAATGATGATGTGTACGTATTAATTGGCATAGCATGCTATCAATAACAGGTGTGCTGTTAAGTGAAACAGATTTCTAACAGTAGGTCTGATATGGTATTTGTATAAACAAAAATGTTAATATTATCTCCTTATTAAATAAGTGTTACTTCTGGGTCATAAGATGATGGCAATCTTTCATATATTTTTTGCATATGCTTTTATGTTTGCATATATGTTATGTGATCTTTTGTATTTCTACATTTTGGGGGGAAATAAATGTTTAGCTTGTGGCTAAATCTCCCAAATTTATGTAAGTTAATCCAAAACACTTATAAACCAACTGTGAGCTTTTCAATAAACTCCAATTTTCCATATTACATCATTGGTTAGAGTAAGTCTAGAATTGAACTTGCTAGAATATATTCAGCCATTTTGCTGCACAAGAAAGCTAATTATTCTCTTCTTTAAAAGTGGGTCAAGGAAAGAAGATGCAATGGTGTGCACAGAATACTAACACCAAAACTGCATGTCTGATTTGCTAAACCAATCAGATAAATAATGCTACTTCTTTTTTAGAAATGCAGAAATATACCATCTAGAATTGAGGTGGAAAAAATGGTCCCTCTCTACTCATCTAGAATTATATTATGGCAATTAGACTATCCTCAATTTGAACTAAAAATCTTTTGCTAGTATAAATAAATATATAGAATTTACAGGAATATTATTACTTTCAAGAACTCTCCAAACAGTTAATGGAATCCATCTTCTAACCTACAAATCCCAGGAGAACTTGTCAATGGGCATGCTGCAGATTCTTTGCAGAGATGAGCTCTAGTTTAAAATTGCTCACTCCAGTATGTCTTGGAGCCAAAATTTCCATTATTTGTTCATAGCAGGACTAATACTTGAGGTACAACAAAATGGCTTAAAACTTAGCCTCTCTGTTCTGTTACCATTAGACATTTCCAAATAAAAATGTCATAGGCAAAATTACAATTAATGAATCCAAATCCTAGTTTGTTGTTTCCCCTCTCTCCCTGGAATTCTTATCTGACTCCAAGGCCAAGTTCTAACGGTCATCTCCTAACCTTTACTATTCTTTATGTTTATATGAACCTACCAACTGAACTTTGAAAGTATTTGTGGAATATATCTTCAACACAACTGTTATATATCCCACATACATGTATAAGAAACTAGTCTAAGTGTTAGAGATGCAATGGAGACCAATATAACACACAAGGCCCTGTCCTCATGTCATATACACTTAAGTTGAAAAAGAGGCATCAATATAACACATAAGTACAGTAGTTACAAACAGAAACAAACACTATGAAAGAAATGAAGAGGAAGTTAAGAAATTCTACAAAGGATGTCTAGTTTCATCTGAGGATCAAGAAAGGATACTCTCTGGCCCACAGTCATCTCTCACTTGAACTACTACTATACTAGCATCTAAACAGCTCTGTTTGTCTGAGTCTTGCTTTCAGCTTTATTTTTTAATCTCTAATCTATTTATTCCTCTACTGAAAGTATTGCCATATGAGTACAATACATTAAACCTACTGCCATCTAGTCAATTCCAGCTCAGAGCTCTTCTGTGCTCATGGATGCATTTTATTAATAGTTATCTTTCCAATCAGATCATAAACTCACAAAAATTACATTGATTTTACATGACATTTATATCCCACTGCATCTTCTAACAGATGTTCAATAAATAGTCAAAGAATTAGTGAATGTAAGAGTTTATGTTTTAATAACTCTGGTTCAAGAACTATCATCAATATTTTTTTTTCTTCAAAGTTTGTTGGCCTGGTTCAAAATAACTGAATAGCAAGCAAATTTACTCTCTCACAATAAATGCTTTCTAGGTAACTTGAATTTTTTTAATTGTTCTGATACTTCTTAGAAAAGGCAAATAAACTCACCAAGAGTTTGTACTATTTAGAGAAATTTAGAGATGGCTGGCTTCTAAAACAAGCCAAGGCAAGCAAATCTCTAAAATCAGCGTTTTCTAACCCATAGTGCTACTACTATAGAATTACCTAAACAGAGATAATCTCATTTATAAGTAATGCAAAATATTCTAGTATATACTGGATGCCTTAAAACATTTAACTCAAATCCATAAATTGGTTTTGGAAGTAACTCATAGCACACCCTTCATTGGATTTCTGCGGCTGTAAATCACATGGGAATAAACTGTCCACTGTTTTCTCTCAAAGCCATTGGCAGATTCAAACTACTAGAGCTGACATTTGGGTTGGCAGCGCAGTTCCCTATGAACTGTGCCACCAGAGCTCCTATATCATAAAAAGTGAATATATAAAACTGTCAATAGTTATCTAAGCTTTGAGGTCCATGACAAACATATGTACTCTTTGATTTAATATAGAGTATGTCTATAATCTATAATCCCATAGTCTATGGTAAAAGACATCAGGGTCTCCTAAAAGTATATTTCTGTCTACCTCCAAAATTCTCATCTCACCTCAGCATCAAAGGACATCTCAACTAAAGCTGAATCGGCCGTCAATGAGATATCAAACACAGGACAAGATTTGGGGATCTGAGGCTCACTAATTAAAATGACCAAAAGATTAAACAGCGCTCCCCTGAAAAAGAAATAAAAGGCAAATGATGAGTAAATTTTGGAAAGGTAAATGAGTGACACCAAATTGCAGACACTGAATATAATTTTACCTAAAATATCAAGCATTGCAGACTATTCCCAACTAAATTGTTTAACCCTTAGACATGCAGATGAATGAATGACAAGTGACAAGATATTTAAAGTAAAATAATTTTGTGGTCTTTTGACTCAGCATAAATTTAATTCTCTAAGAAATAAGGGGAGTCACATAATTTGAAAAACTTAAACAAATTTGGATGTAAATAGTATTTGGGTGATTTCAATTATAGAATTATTTTCCAAGGGACTTTTCACATAGTACCAATTCCAAGCAATCTTATGCTTAAAATGGTGTCTACCAAACTTCTCCGAAGCTTTAATATATACATTGCATGTCTCTAGGAGAGAGAAACTGTGTGCAGCATTTCTTAAAGTGCTTATTTGAAGCCTTATACCAGAACTCTTTTTTAACAGGGCATTTCACAGAGCTCTCATAGCCTAGGCTATATAGGCAGTTGTGCTGCCAACCTAAAGGTTACTAGTTCAAGTCTACCAGCAGCTTCTCAAAAGATAGAAGGGCTGAGTTCCTGAATGGAGGAGAAAGGGCAGGACAGGAAAAGAAGGAAGGAAGGAAAAAAGGAAGGAAGAAAGAGGGGCAATCTCCTCCTGTGCATTTTTATAGCTTTTGCAAAACTTTTGGCAGTCTGGGATATTCAGGACTCTTCTCCAACACCACAACTCAAAGGCACTGATTCTTCTTCTGTTGTCTTCATTTATTGTCCAACTTTCAGATGCACAACAAGTAACTGAAAAGATCATGTCATGGATCAGGTGCACCATAGTCTTTAAACTGAGATCATTGCTCTTCAGTACTTTGGAGAGGTCCTTAACAGATTTTCCCGCTGATGATGGATTTGGGTAAGATGAAATCATTGACTTAAACCTTTTCTCTATTTATCATGATGTTGTCTATTAGCCAAGTGGTGAGTATTTTTGTTTCCCTGACATTAAGATGTAATCCATACTGAGGACTGTATTCTTTGATCTTCTGCCAATTAATAAATTCCAACTCATAGCTACCCAAATAGGAAAGAGCAGAATTGCCCATAGGATTTACAAGACTGCAATCTTTGTGGAAAGAGACTGTCATGTCTTCCTTTCAAGAAATAGCTAGTAGGTTTAAGCTTCCAATTTTAAGCAGCCAGATGCCTAACAACCATACCACCAGGGCTCCTGACCACCAACCACTCAAACACACCTCCATGGAGTTGATTCCAACTCATATCAATCCTTCATCAAGTTTCTCAGACCGTAAATCTTAATAGGAGGAGAGTGGCTGTCTTTCTTCCTCTTGGCTGCTGGTGAATTTGCACCACTGGAGATGAGCACTCTTTTGGTTAAAAGTGCAACAGGCTATGGATTACATCACCACAGTTTCTTGAACACCACTATTAGTTAATAAAAAGAGTATTAAATTTCAGGTCTCTGCTTTCAAAGGCCAGGTATTGTCTATAATAAAGCCACACTAACAAAAACTTACTTAGCATTTCACAGTAGCTTTCAAGTGTCACTCATTCACTGCCAGGGAGTCAATTTCAACTCTACCCTGGAAATTGCAGTACAAGCAGATAGCCCATCTTTCTCCATCAGAGACACTGGTGGAATCAAACCATGAAAGACATTGAATTTCTGAGTTAGTAGCATAACTTTTACATACGGAACACTCACTGAGGTGTATTGTTGTTAAGTGCCATGGAGTTGACTATGACTCATAATGACCCTATGAGTTAAAAATACAAACCTTGCCCTATCTTACACCATCCTCATGATAATCCAATATGTTCACATCTGTGATACAGTAATAATCACTGTATCAATCCATCTTTTTTAGAATCTTCCTCTTTCTCTTACTTGCTACCTTTCCCAGTATGATGTCTTTTTCCAACGACCAGCCTCTCCTCACAACATGCTCAAAGTATTTGAGATGAAGTTTTACCATCCTTGACTTGAAGGAGCATCCTGGTTGCACTACCGCCAAGACAGACTTATTTCTTCTTTTGGCAGTCCATGGGATATGCAGTACTCTTCTCCAACACCACAATTCAAAGATATTTACTCTTTCCTTAATCATTGTTAAATTTGTAGATGCAATAAAGTAAATTGAATACCATGGCTTGAGTCATACACATCTTAGTCTTTTAATTGGCAAAATTTTGCTCTTCAGCACTTTTGAGAGGGCCTTGGCAAATTTCTTCAAAGCAACATGTCTTCTGATTTCTTGACTGCCCCCTACCAGGGATGTTAATTGTGGATCCTGTAAAATTAAATCATTGGCAACTTCAATCTTTTCCTCCATCAATCATGATGTTGGTAATTGGTCCAGTGATAAGGATTTCTATTTTCTTGATATTGAGATGTAACTTGTATAGAAAGCTATACTCTGATTTTCTGCAGTAAGTGCTTCAATTCTTCTTCACTTTCTGTAAGCAAGGTTGCATCATCTGCATAATGCAGATTGTTGAGTTTTCCTCTAATTCTGATGCCACATTCTTCTTCACAAAGTCCAGCTTCTCAAAAATCATTTGCTCAGCACACAGATTGAATAGATATGGAGAAAGATACAATTATAACACACTGTTATAGGTGTTATTTAGGTGGTTAGGTGTTGTTTAGGTATGAGAATCATAAAAACTAAGAAATATAATTATACAAAATTTCCTCTAATTGTTAGAATTCTTTTCATAGTAGCATAAAAAGACTATGTTGTCATTGTTGTTATGTGCCATTGAGTCAGAAATGATTCATAGCTGACCCTCGAATAAGACTCCAGTGGTTGTAAATCACAAGAGAGGAGACGGCTCATCTTTCTCCCTTGGAGCAGCTCATAGACTCAAACCATGTGCCTTTCAGTTGTTGAATAACTTCTTACTACTAGGCCACCAGAGCACCCTACAATGATACAAGGGCTCCTAAAGATTCTACACAATGTTTTTTCATTAATATTCTTTTTAATTTTTTATTATTATTATTAATTTTAATGAAAATTTACAGAGACTTTGGATTTCCATTTATTCATTGTTGCACT